CTCTCTCTCTCTCTCTCTCTCTCACACACACACACACACACACACACACACACACACACACACACACACACACACTGTTTTATAGTAACAACAACATCATCAGATCAGAACATCAACATGAGAAATTTCCAGGTCTTACAGCTCCCAGGCAGATGTAAGGGAAGCCAATCTGATCTGAGAAAACACAAAAGATCCATTTGAATCAGTAGGTTTGATATGTAAACCCTGTGAATAAAGAAGGGTTTTAAGCTCATTTTAGGTATTGAATACTTCAAAGCAAACAACATTTAACTAGGAAGAGGGAGCTGCCTCAGTAGGGCCCTCAATAAAACTGTGAGATAAGTTTTGGGCTTGCCTCCAACTTCTCTTGTTTTGGGCAGCCCATCTCATTATCTTCAACTCTTCCCCTCTGACCGTTCATCTTTCCCACCTAAGTATTACACACGTAAATAAAATTTAGTGAGTGCCTACTATGTGTCAGGTGCCCTGCTAAGCACTTTAGTAGTATTTTCTAATTTAATCTTCTCAATAACCCTGAAGTAAATATGATTAGTATCTTCATTCTAGGGTAAGTGACTTGCCTAGAGTTACAGATCTCATAAATAGTGAAGCCAGGATTGAATCCAGGTCTATCTGGCTCTGGGTCAGTACGTTATACGGCCTCCTGCACTCATTTTGGTCTCCAGGGTGTCCAAAGTACCTCCATGCATTTTAAAAGAATGGGGGAAAACCTGACATGTACTGAGTCTTTTTATGTGCTTTACACAGGCTATCTCTTTCAAGCTCAAATAACCCCTGTGACAGGTATGTATTATCTCCATTTTAAAGATTAGCAAACAAAGAATGAGAGTTTGAGGGCTCTTAAGACTTTTCAAGCTGCCCTTTATTTAGCAGATGAAGAATGAAGAGCCCCAGGAAGATCAGGTGGCTTGCTGCAGGACACAAAGCTAGCTACTGTCAGAGCTGAGTCTGTTTCCCAATCTGCTGCTCTCTTCAACTTTATGTAAGCTGTCACTCTGAAAGGAACGGACATTAATAACAGAGGAGGACTGCCAGGCACTTTGCTAAATGCTTTACACGCTGCACCCAACTCTGATCGAGGGGATTCCCAACATTACAGGTCCAACCAATGTTTTCTGCTAACATTTAACCAAAGAATGGGAAAAAGACTTAAACTTCACATCTACCAAATTTATA